ATGAACAACTTCATTATAGTGGACACGACTGCCACTTACAACACCATCTTTGGGTGGCCACTCTTTAACACTTATAGGGTGGTAGTCTCGACCTATCCCATAATGGTTAACTTTTCAGTGGGGAGAAAGGATATCTCTGTGAAGGAAGACTTGATGCAATCAAGTGCCTACTATCTAGAAGCTATAGGAAAAGCTTGATTTGTCTAAAAGTAGTCGAGTTCTAGAACTTGGAGTGCAAATGACATGAAAACTTTCGAACCATAAGAGAATGCCCTACTTCTTTATACTTTTTATATTGTATTTATCACGTTATATTAATAAAATATTTCAAAGCCTTTTCATCTGGAGACTCATTCACGCGACCTATGTGCTTGAGAAAAAGATACGCTCCCAAGAAAATTAAAAGAAATAACACAATGTAAAAATAATTCACAAAGTATACTTAGGGAACTCATCCCCTTCTTCCGAGAATACTCGGGGAACTTGCCCTCTTCTTGATCATGATTGAGAAAGTCAGGCTTCGTTATAGGTCCCATTAAAAAAGTGTTTAGAATGTATTGCTAAAGAAAAAATCTAGTCATAGAAGGAAACTCCCTCTTTGCAGCCAAGCTCGTATTGAGTGGAATGCAAGTCCCTTCTAGCCAACGAGTCTAGATAGTTACCCCTATGAAAACTCAAGTTTGGCAAAAGGTAAGACCCATCTAAGGTGACATCATCAGAGATCACCAAGATAAGGATAAAAGGCCCGAGAAGAATCAGAAAAATCTTGCCTAGAGAGCGAGTTAACATTCCCTTGCACAAAATGCAAATAAAAATTCAATTTAGTTGAAGTCATAAAGAGATAGTTCAACAACCCAACATATTCCAACTTAAAAGTCAAGAAAATTCGTTACTTTATGAGAAATCTGTTTTCTTATCCTCCTTATTAGTATGGCATCATCGCAAATTGTCATGACCGCCAAATCCACCCAAAAAACATGAACCACTGAGCGAAACCAACCTAACATCTAATGAGTCAACTCTTAATATTGGAATTGGCCAGCCCCAAACTAGAAAGTGAGTGTGATAATAACTTATGTCAATATTTGAGAAATTTAATTTCTAAATGGAATTTAGCTAGATAAGAAAAGGGTGAACTAATTTAAGCTTGGGAGCTGGGTGATCTCAGCTTAGGGTTAAGTTTGGAAGTTACGAGACTACTTACTTCTTGCAGGTGAGTTAAGGTCTCCAGTTAAACAACCTGCAGGTGAGCCTATCAAACCTGTTGACTTTCTTCCCTTTGCCGAGTTTTTTCACTTCAAGTTGAATATGCACCTGATTTTAAACAGATCTAAGAAATGAGAGGCCACCATACTCTGTGCGCTTAGAACTTACAGGCTAAATTTTGCACTGGATACTTTTGACTATCAATGAACGATTAATAAATTAATGATTTTGAAGGAAGATGTATGGAAAGATAAGATGACAAACAAGCAATAAAGCTATGCTAACTAATAATTCAAAACCTCCTTGCTGAGAAATGTTCAATTTCTAGCATTTCATCTGAATGATCCTGAAAAGGACTTACTTAAATTCTTAGCAACGTCTACTCAAATTTGTTTCTAAATTAAATCTTGAGATTTCAGTTAACTTGTTACCTATAGCTTTGATTTCCTTAACCATATCAGTTGGGAAATTTATCAGACGTTATTGTGGCGTTGCTTTGTATTAAATAACAGGCCATTGTTTTTCTGATCCATTTACTGTGCCATGCGTTTATTTGCATTTCTGGTTGCTTATAACTGATATTTTGTGTAAATTTGATCTCAGGCAATTACAGCCCTTAAAAAGGGGTCATGTTTACTCAAATACGGACGTAGAGGGAAGCCAAAATTCTGTCCTTTTAGACTCTCTGCTGTAAGTCATCTACTTTTTAGATATCATATTTTCTTCACTCTAGCTTACCTAATATTTATATCTGCACCCAATAACGTCTTTGATGCTAGCATGATTATTCTAGTTCTGAACATTTTCATCAAATATATTGTAGATAGCTTCAGATACTAGGCGAGTTGTCTGACATCTTAGAAATATTGCCCTATGGTCAGTAAAGGTTTAGTTATCCTAGAGAAAGTATAGGTAGAGTAATATTCTTCAATTGTGGTAACATTAATTTCAATATATAACAGGATTTTAAATTTCTCCTGTTAGAAGGAAATTTAGTCAAGTTACTTTCCACATCTCAAAATGAATGCTTACAGAAGCTATAAAAAATTCTCCCTTCATCATTCTCAGAGTTCTTAAACATCAGGCAACTGATACTAAATGTAGTTAGTATTATCATGTCAATGGGATGTGTGATGGGGACATCAGTTGGAAAGTCTACCGTTGACGTGGCCGTAGATCTACGGTAGACCTGTCAATTTTGGGTCACGGGTCGGGTTCGGGTCGAACCCGAAACTGACCCGACACTATTCGGGTTCGGGTTGACCCGACCCGTTATTTTTAAAACGGGTCGATTTTCTGAACCCGAACCTGACCTGCTTCGGGTTTGGGTCAACCCGACCAGCGAATACAATAACGTCCGCATCGGCTGGCGGCAGCAGAAGCCGGCGAAAGGATCCAGTGACGCCGGACGCCAGCAAAAGCAGCTGGTGACGCCTGACAAAAGCAGCTCTAGGCCGGCGGCACCAGAAGCCGGCGAAAGCAGCCAGTGACGCCCGACGCCGGCGAAAGCAGCTCGAGGCGCTCAGAGAAGCGTGCGGGACATGAGCTCGGGACGCGTGCGCGATGTGAGCTCAGGAGTCGGGACAAGTGCGGCGAAGCTGTCCACCTGTCCTCGGGACGTGACTAGCTGACGCGGCTGGGCAGCCGGGGCAACGGGCAGGCGGGCACGGGGCAGCCGGGGAAGCGGGTCAGGCGGGTAGAGCCGGTCAGAGCTTTATTCCGGGTCATTTTGGGTCATTTCCGGGTTCCCTTTTACCCTTGCTTGAGGGATTGAGTCATGTAGCCCCTTGAGGGTATTTGAGTCCTTTTGCTTTATGTCATTGTAATAGGCTATTTAAAGCCTTCCTCTTGTACTTTTGAAGCTAATGAATGATATTACGAAATTTTCATGCACTTTTCTTCTTGAAGCTTTTTGTGAGAGCTTGAGAGAGTTTGAAAGCTAGGTGGAGCCTAGGAGAGGCCACCCGTCGTACCCAACAGTCATCACCGGTTGCTCTTGGTCTATCCTCCTCCCTTATTTCCCCTCTACCCAACATCCACCGCCGGTCATCCCCCACCACCAATCACCACCTCCTTGCTTCACCATCCAAGCTCAATCACCCCAAAACCACCCCCTCCCATTCATCCCGCCGACCATCCCATTAACTGCCAGCCTCCACTTCATCCACCAATCCACTCCCGTTAATTGCCGGCTCCTTTGCTGCCACCTCATGTATTTTCAAATTCGAAATTTGAAAATTTTGATGAGTGAAAGTTTCCAAATTTGTCCGGTGCCAAATTAGGAAAGTTTCAATGAGGTTTCAATTTCAAATTTAAATTGAAACGGATTTGAAATTTTTCTTCATTAATTTGTTGGAGCTAATTAGGAAACCCATTACCCTCTCCCCAAACCTCCTCCCCCCTTCACCATGCCGCAGGCCCCCCTCTTGATGACCCCCTCTTGAATGCCTCATTAAAGATCCTAATTGCATGTCTTTGAAATTCAAATTTCAGAATTTTTCCCTCCACTTCTACTCAAAATCTGAGAATAATTTTGGTATGGAGATTATAACATATTTTCTTCATCCCATCTAGTTCTCTCCTAACCCTAGCCTCTTCCTCTCTCCCACCGCCATCTCTCTCCCTCTCCCTCTCTAGGTCTTTCTCTCTTTACATGATAATGACGCATGGCCTCTCCGGCGTTTGATTCCTACTTCGCATCCGATGGTCAAGGCATAGTGGATCTTCTCAAATCTCCGTCGTCGACGTGATTCCAATCATTGACGGATCCCTAGAAATTTCTTCCTCTCGTAGCAATTGTTGAAGAGGACTAACGAAAGGCACGTGGTGAATCACGACGTCTCTCCGAGAAGGTGATCTTCTTCCTTGACTCACTTACTTTCAAATTCTAATTACTTTGTTGAGAGTTTGTTCAAGCAAGAGATTGTGTCTACTAATCGCCATCCACTAGCAAGCGTAGGTTTGTTACTTCTTTGCTCTTAGATCTCATTGTTATGTATTGGTTAAGTTGGAAACTACTCCGCATGCAATGTTTTACTTTTCCTAAGTGTTTTGATTGTGCTTAGTCTCTTGCGTAGCATAGCCTAAACGGAATTGACCATCTTTGAGTTTTACTTTGTTGTTTTAATCACGAATAACAAAAATCTGAAATTGTTCTCAAAATATTTTGTGCAAGTTTCCGATTTTTACATGTAGTCCTACATCAATGTGATAATCCAATTGTCAGGAATAGTGGAAAAGGATTGATTGAGCTTTGTTTGGTATTGTTGTGATGTGTTGTTAAGTAAAATATATGACGACTAGACCATACCTCTACTTTGCAAAAGATGAAAAAAATCAAATAAAATTGTTAGCCACATTGTAAAGTCCAGGCTTGAATTCAAATTAATATGCTATAACATATATATGTAATCAACTGTTAAATAAAAAAAATTATAATTTTCAATTTGAATTCAATTTTAAAAATAATGACATGCATGTTGTGATAGCTAAATATTAATTAAAATAATTATTTTAAAATAATGTCAACTAGTTTAATATTTATAATATTTTGGTAAAATCATGTTATGATTGCTATCTAAAGTCTTTTTGGAGTTATGATTGTTTAGTAAATAAATGTGGTTTGAGAAATGTGAGTTGACTAAATAACTAATATGCCTATTATTCTAATTTCATACGGTTGTAATATGTCACCCTAATCTTGATGTGTTTTGCTTTTATTGCTAAAAAATTGAATATTAGATCAATACATCACTACTAGAAAAAATATTGCATCTCAATGCACTTTGTACTTATGGCCATCTCTATTAGTCATGTGTAGAAAGAGGGAGGAAGTTTTAGTGGCTATACTGGTAAGAATGATGCTGCTCTATAGTCCTCGACATGGTGAGAAGTGATTCTTCTCCTATTGAACGAGCAAACCACTTTGTTTGCATGCTCAACCAAAGAGAAAGAAAGCAAGGACTTCCTAGTTTCTTTTAGCCTCCAGTCCAAGAAAGAGAAGAGAAATCGAAAGTTCCTTGACCCCCTCTCGATTTTTGAAACCTTTTTACTAGCCCGATACCTCTTTGTAATAATCACAAGAAGAAGCCTGCAACTCTCTCAGTGTTTCATGGATGCACTCCTGCTCCTCTTTGGAAATCTGAGCCAGCAATCACCCCTCATAGTGAAAAGCTCTCCGCCGTCTTCGCTTAAGCCCTCCTCAGTTGTTTCTCTTTGGAAGACCAAAAGGAAAAATAAGAAGATGCTGGTGCGTCTCCCCCTTCCTTGAAAAACCACATGACAGCCACCCCAAAACCCCAAATGCAACACTCGGTTTTTTGGCCTGGATGCGCGCAACTAGGTTCCCATCTCCTTCCTCATCATATTGGTTTCATCCCGACACATGCCACAACTCTCCTCAACTCTCAGTTTCGCCTAGTAGCTGGCAACGAAAAAACAAAATTAGGTAAACAATATCCCCCACTCCCATATACTCTAATCGGCTACGGATCGTTCCTTGCTTTACACTTGATAACTTGGAATTGTTGTTCACTACAGAGTGTCGTGGGAAAGGCTGGAAAGCTGCGGCTACAACAACAGCTTCAATTTCAATCATCAAATGCACTGGCCTAATTTTGAAAGGCTTACATGGCCAAAATAAGCTATTTGAAAACTAGAATGAGAAATGGGAATAGGCTAATTTGAGCTTGATTTGGGTTTGATTTAACTTGATTCGAGTCAATTATGCTTGATTGGGTCTGATTAAACTCATTTGAATTTGATTCAACTCAATTAGACTTGACTAAGTTGATTTGATGTAATTTGGCTCAATTCAATTCAAATTAATAAAATGAACGTCAAATCGAACAAGATAATTGATTAAATTGAAATTGCTTATTCTATTCAATTGATTCAAGTTAAGTCAAGTAAAAAATTAAGTTGAATTTGAATCAAATAGTCAAATTTAATTAAATTAGATAGTCTCAAGTTGAAGTTATGTTGAAATTAATTATGAGATTTAGTCGACTTAGATTCAAAATTTGAGTCAACAAAATGAACTAGAAAGATTGATGTCTCTTAATTTTGGAAGTATTATGTTTGTGAGTAACTTGAATTACCTATAATCGAGCATAAGTGTTTATGTGATGGAAGCTAAGCGTTTAATCTTCTGGGAACTTATTCACGTGCACTCTTTTCATTTTCCTGGTCGAAATGGATGATTGTAGCTTTTATTCAATTTTTAAAGTCTTCACAACAAATAACAACAACAACATCAAGCATTTATCCTACTTTGTGGGGTCGATTACATCAATTCTTTTTCTCCATTGTCTCATGTTAAGAGTCAAATTCTCATTTAAATGTAATAAAAAAAATTCATTCCTAATATTTTCTAACCAAATCTTTTTAGGTCTATCTCTACCTTTATTAACATAAGCAAAATCTAATACATTTACTTTTCTAATTGGGTCATTAGAAGGCTGCCGTTTTATGTGACCAAATCATCTAAGATGACTCTCTCTAATCTTATCTTTCACTGGAGCCACTCTAACCTTTTCATGTATATGCTCATTTCTTATCTTGTCTCTAAGAGCAAAGCCACTCATCTACCTGAGCATCCTCATCTCTCCAACACTTAATATTAGACTTATCTTTGAATGGCCAACATTTTGCCCCATAAAACATTGCAAGTCTCACCACCATCCTATAGAATTTTCCCTTAAGTTTGAGGGGGACTTTTCCATTACACAAGAAGCCTGATGCATTCCTTCACTTCAACCATCCATCTTGAATTCTACTAATAATATCACCATCTATTTCACCATCACTCTGAACAATAGACGTAAGATATCTAAACTATGTACTCTTATTAATGTATTCAATTTAAATTCTTTAAGAAAATTAAATATTTCTTGCTCATTAGCTGTAAAGCTATTGTTCATATCATCTTTATTATCACAATTTTGCTGCGGGCAAGGTGAGCCTTATGGAAAATAAAAGTTGCACATTCTTTTGTGGTGCATGTACTTCTTATCTTATTCTAATATTGTTAAATGACATAATTGACTAATCTAGCTGCTCTTCATCTAGGTGGCCGTAGTCTGCATTTGATTCATTTGATGGTGGGTTTGATGGAACAAACAACTTCATTTGCTCTAATAATAAATATCATCATGAACTAGTCATAGTGTTTGATTAAATCCTTCCAATTTTCATGGCAATTCCTTTTTTTATGTCTAGTCATCACCTGAAACATTAGGCCAGCTGCTTTGGTTGCACTTCATGAATTTTTTTTTCCAATTTATTTTTATTAAGAGTTTTATCTGGTGTTATTTCAATTTAAATCTTAAACACTTCTAGATAATTTATATCCTAGGCTTCGCATACCTTCAGGACTCTTCAAAATAATTTTCTTTTTTTTGGTGCAATCCGTGTTTTAGTGTTGATGACTATAACAACAATCAGTTTTCCTTCTTACCAAGTTCAATCCATGTTAGTACTATACCCTGTTGATAAGCATTTTACCTTTTTTTTTTCTTATTTTACTATACATTCGTTATAGCATGACCTCTTAGCTTCATCCGATCCCCGTCAATACCCTACTAGAAAGAATCTGTCATAAAAACGCATAGAACCTGGCTATGTATAAGTGTATAACTGTCAATGCAACCTTCCACAACATGTTGCAAGATGATTGTTACTTTCCCTACTTTCCTATGTTTATATCTTTTTTTTTTAAGGGCTTCTCCTTATCTAGTGGTTGTTAATGTTTTTTCTTCTACATTCTTTACAGGATGAGTCTATGTTAATCTGGTTTGCAGGAAGACAAGAGAAAACACTTGTGTTAGGCATTGTTTCTAAAATTATTCCCGGGCAACGTACTGTAAGTATCTCCGTTGTGAAAGTGCTTTCATTGCTAAATGCGTTTGCTGCATTGAATTACTTCACTTCAAATGTAATGCACTAATGTTGACCTCTGAAAATTTCCAGAGGTGCATCGACCTTTGTTCAGCCTATGAACTTGCCTGATTGAACTGCTGTTGTGCTCTAATTAAATTAGTGCAGTCATGTATACCTGATATTGTCCCAAACTAGCGCACAATTTTCCTTGACTTTCACAGTCCAATACTCAGCATAGCCTTGGTTGGGCTACCACATTGACCTAATAAAGCCTAGTTCGACATGATGGTCAAATCCAATAACATCTCACCAATTTTGTTAAAATCGGCAAACCATTCTCATCTTGCTTATGCATTTCAAGTTGATGACCCCTAGCATGTGTCCAACATCAGCATTGTCAAATGTGGTCGCTCTAACAAATCGTTAGTTGCATCAAAGGCCCCAATTGTGGCATTAATATGATGCAAATCATCTATAAAATGAGCCCAATTGACTCTTAATTTTTGTTGGTCCCTGGTCAACTCTAATAAACCCCTATTAACTCATTTAACTAGTCAACCCTTTTACGATTCTGATCAACCTTTCTCACACTTAGCTCAATCCATATGTGAACCTCGCTTTGATCCCCTCGCTCACACCTTGGTTTCATTTAGTCCCTTCCATGGTTTCAATCTCGTAACTGTCAGATATCCTAGTAGAGCTTGGAAAAACCACGTTCTTATAACCACCATTAGTGCGGCATTATAGGGTGTCCTCTTTATGTCTCATGCACTTTACATTCCATGCATCTTAGATCATGCAATGTTTTTTCTCTTTCACTTGAGTAGTACTTACGATGTGGGCGATTCATTTCTTTTGTTGTGCCTCTCTTCTAGCCACAAGTCGTTGGATGTCCACAAATTTGATAGAGTCACTGTTTGCACATTCCTTAGTGTTGTTTATGTTGTGGATGATGCGGCCCTAATTCTCCATGACCTTAACATCGACCAAAAACTTGTTGGATGTCCAATGACCCAATATAGTGGAGGTGGTGTCTCTCCTACCTGTTATTTACGGGGTGATTGATGTGGCCTCCGAAATATTTGATGCTTCTCATAGTGCGAAGTGCCATTCACAACATGAAAGATTTGGGGTGGCACATTTCTCATTGCCTCTTAACATGGAGCTATATTGAAGCATTACTAAAATTTTGGGTGAAATTGGAGAGTTAATGTGATTGTAACTCTACAAAATTAGGTCAGAATTGAGACAAAATATTGTTGATATTAAAGCATAGTATTAATGCATTAATTAATGAACTTGCCAAAGTTACTTAAAGAAATGCACACCAGTTTCAAGAATAAACCTTTGAACCATCAGGACTAGTACAAATTGATGGACTGGCCGATTTGATTGATAGAAAATTAAGAAATTTTTTAATCAAAGAGAGCTTTTTAGGAAGGTTCTTAATCAAAGGGGAATTATTTAGGAATGTTTTAATTACAATTGAGAAGGAATTATTTGGAGCAAGAGATCTAATTTGATTTCAAAATTTGTGAGGGAATTATTTATGAAAGAGGAGGAATTAAGATGGATTATTTAGGAAAGTTTTAATTATAATTGCGAGGGAATTAATTAGGGAAATAAATCTAATTTCAATTCAATTTTGGGAGTGAATAATTTAGGAAAAGTGGGCTAATTTGAGAGGGAATTATGGGAGCCTATTTAAGGCTAACAATAGCATGATTTCAGGATTATGTTTGGAGTTTGCTGAAATTAAAATTTCTTAGGTTGTGAGGGCTCTAGCTGCTGGCTAGGGATTTGAGAGAGCCGGATAATCCTGTTCAATTGAAGATCCAATTGTATCTTATTTTTCTCTTTCATATATCTTGCAATAAAAAGAGTTTGGTGCGTTCTTCCTAATTTTTTTGTGTCGTTCTTTGATTTTGCTGAAATTGCATCCACTTCCTATAAAATTGGTATCAGAGCACGATCCGGGTATGTTTGGCAGGAAGGAAAGTAGAAATGTTGGAAGGGGAGATCAGACAATTGAAATATGATTTTGTAAATATTTCATATTTCGAAAAGTAATTTTTAGCCATCCATGAGAATATCGATGGGAAGTATGCCATCATGGAGGAGATGATTTGGAAGCTGCTCGAGTTCCAAACCAAAATGGTGCCGTCGAAGGGGAGGGAAGCCACCACAGGCCAAGGAAGTCGGGAATCTGATAAGGAGGGGAAAATCAGGAGGTGAAAATATTGGGGGAAGAAGAGGAGATGCCACATTTGGAGCCACTTCCAAGGAGATTAGGATTTTTGGTGGAGGTGCAAAGTTTGGAAGGAGAAAAAGATGGGGAGAAGATAGAAGCACCAAACATGGTTCAACCATCCCTACATCAATATCAAGGGGTGTTCCAGCTAGTTCAGGGGTTGCCTCCTCCGCGGGAATGCGAGAATGCTATCATCTTGAAGAAAGGAGTCTCACTTATCAGTATTTGTCTGTATTGTCATCCCCATATCCAAAACGAAGAGATTGAGAGATTAGTCAAGGAGATGTTCGAGGTAGGGAATCATTCTACTCAGTGTCAGTTCATTTTTCAGTCCAATGCTATTAGTCAAGTGTTTCAGTAGCAGTTTATTTCATTCCACCTTGAGGACAAGGTTGGACTTTGGGAGGGAAGTATTTATGGACTGTCTGATTTGATTGATAAAGAATTAGGAAATTTCCTAATAAATAGAGAGCTGTTTAGGAAGATTCTTAATCAAAGGGGAATTGTTTAGAAATATTTTAATTACAATTGAGAAGGAATTATTTAAGGCAAGATATCTAATTTGAATTCAAAATTTAAGAGGGAATTTTTTAGGGAAGAGGATGAATTAAGGGTTTTTATTTAGGAAAGTTTTAATTATAATTGCAAAAAAATTACTTAGGGAAATAAATCTAATTTGAATTCAAATTTGAGAGGAAATTATTTAGGAAAAGGCGGCTGATTTGGGAGGGAATTATAGGAGTCTATTTAAGGCTAACAATAGGATGATTTTTGGATTATGTTTTAGAGTTTGCTGAAATTAGAATTTCTTAGATTGTGAGGGCTCTAGCCACCGGCTAGGGATTTGGGAGAGCCGGATCTTCAATTGGATCTTCCTCTCCAATTGAAGATCCAATTGTATCTTGTTGTTTTCTTTCATATCTTTCAATAAAAAGAGTTGGTGTGTTCTTCCTAAATTTCTTGTGTCGTTCTTTGATTTTTCTGAATTTGCATCTACTTCCTATCACAAAGCTCCCCGATGAACTTTGGACTTAACTATAATTCAAATTAACTTGAATAGATTGAACTGTAATAATAATTTTAGCCTTATATTACTAAACTTGTGGAAACGTAGCCAGCCACAGCCTTGACTATCAGCCTTCTGTCAATCTACTGGATTGATCGTGCTAGCTACACCTCTGAGAAATTGGCCTCTTGATAATCCATTCAGTCAAGCCCATACCTTTCTGCTCCAACTGAGGTCAACTCTCCTTCCTTTTATTCCTTGCCACCTCACAAATCCATGGACTTATTGTTGTCACCTTATCAATCTATGGGTCGTCCTAATTGTAATTAATTTTATTTCCTAAAATTTTTATATTTCTTACTAGAGATACTCTTAGAATTATATAAATTCAGCACATATGATGAATGAAACTTATAACCAATTATTTTCTATTTGGTTACCCTAAAGGTATTGCACATTTTGATGGGGCAACTTCATAATTTGAAGTAAAAAACAAAATTTGGTCATAGAAGTTGAAGGCTTCGTTTGGGATAGCTTTCTTATTATTTCTTAAAGCAACTTTCTAATACAACAACATCACCATCAAGCCTTTGTCCCACTACCCTTTGTCCCACTACGTGGGGTCAACTATATGAATCTCTTTTCTCCATTGTGTCAAGTTAAAAGTCAAATTCTCGGTTAAAGCATCTTTCTAATGCAAAAATTTAAATTTTTGTGCTAAAAAAATTCTTTAAGAATCAGTGAGAAAGCTGTCCCAAACAAAGACGAAGTTTGATATATGATAATGAAAATTTTTCTAATCTAGCCTAAACTAAAATAATTGATGTTTAATCTAGCCAAAACTAAAACTATAGGCTACTTCTAAAGAGAAGCAGTAAGTCCTACAAATTACAGGCTACTTTCAATGGGAAACATTAAGACTCGTTCTAAAACAAAATTACTGACAACTTTTAAACATATAAGTCATAAGACCTATCCAAATCAACCATTGGGCCACTTCTAAATGAAGCAGTAAGACCCACACGTTAAGGAAACTTCTAAGTGAAGTACAACAACCCTAAAATTGAAACAAAAACTACAGACAACTTCTAAGGAAAATCGTAAGTCCTATCCAAACAAAACCTACTGGCCGCTTAGCTTATAGAATTAGGCTGTAAGACCTACCATTAGGCCACTTTTAAATGCATAAGGCGTAAGACCTATCCAAATAACCAAGCAATTTCTAATGAAAGTCGTATGATGTATTCTTTGGGGAACTTTTAAATGAAATAGCAAACCCTCAACCAAAACCAACGTGCCGCTTTGCTTATAGGGTTAGGTCATAAGACCCAACTCAAATTCAAATTTATGAGCAATTCTAATGGAAGTTGTAAGACCCAACTCGAATTCAAATTTCTATGCTACTTTCAATGAAATTCGTAAGACCAAGTTCTAAAATAATCATACTATTTATAATAGAAGTCGTAAGACTCACTTCTAAAATAATCACGCTACTTCCAACATAAGCCATAACCTCGAACCAATTCAAACAAATGGATAACTTCTAAATGAAGTAATAAATTCCAAATTAAATCAACTACTGGGTATTATAATAGATGTAAACCCTAAACCTCCATAAAATTATAACTCACCTATAACCACTTTAGTTTATTCGGGATCCCTGAGAATAGGCAAACCATGGCTACTAATCAGATTTCTCAGATATTATAATCAACGATCGTTAATATCGGTAAATTGAACGGTATACTCGAGACGACAGAACCATAGGATCTTGATTGGGTTTACCTCCATTTTTTCGACAACTGTGACTGAAATGTCTAAAATTATTCATCCTTAATCGAGAGTTCTCTCTTATGTAGTAATAGGGGTAATTAACTATGAGGGCTTATGCTCATAGGAAGTAAGGATTTGGATCTAGCTATACTCTGATACTACCCTCAGAAAAAATCTGGTTAACTACAATCTGCCTTAAGGATAATGAAATCCTATGTCTGTAAAGCGGAATTCATGTTGTCGTGCCATTTTGCTTGAGCCAACAAAGATAAATTATTCTGCTTTGAAAAACATTCAAATTTATTTTCTAGCTCAATAGTAATCCACATTGGGTCCCTAAAAATCCTATCATTGCGCATTAAACTCGATTGAAAAATCTGAAATGAGGCACGTGATATTTTTTTCAAAGCATAAGAAACTTTAATTACAAAAAAAAAACCAGCAAAAAAATGAAAAATTTTTGAAAAAGAAAGTGAGAAATATTTCAATAAAAAAGAAAAAATACTAATACAAGGATAAAAAAAATCAATGAAAATATAAAAATTTCCATGAATCATGAGAAATTCTAAATTAATTTCAAAGGCCAATTTACAGCCTCAAGTTATTTTAAGATTGTATTGAAGTGCAGTCCCTATTTTTACCCATTACAAATCATGAAAATATTCAAAATTCTAGAATGTAGAAAAATTGGGTGTAAATAATAAATATTAATTTGATTTTATTATTATTATTTTTGTATATTTTCATTGTTCTTGCAAATCAATGTCGTGTCGTCACCTCATGTGTGCACGAATCTTTTTTGTTTTTCACTAAGCAAAGAAACCAACTAATATGGTATCAATCTTATTGTTATGTTATCTCGAATGCGTTGGTGTATCTATTTCGTGAACAGACGTCATTTGGTCGATTTGTACTTTTTAGTTTATATGTTTGAGATAGCTTTTGCGCGAAGCGCATCTTTTGCTCGTCGTTTTGCCGTGTTTAATCATTTTGACATTGGAGCAGCTATTGAGGTCAACAAGTTCCTTCACCATTTAACATTTCAGTTGTCTTTTAAGAACTTCTCTTAAGCAATGACATGGCATGTCTGTTAGCTGCTGAAGAATATAAGCCTCATAATTAATAACTTATTCCTTGCTTTGGGCCTTTGATAAAAGGAGCACGTATTTTTAAAATAGCCGCAACAACAACAACAACAACAAGCCTTTATCCCACTAAGTGGGGTCGGCTACATGAATCCTTTTTCTCCATTGTGTCCTATTAAAAGTCAAATTCTCGTTTAAATCTAATAAAGAAATGTCATTCATAATATTTTCTAACTAAGTCTTTTTAGGTCTGCCTCTACCTTTCTTAACATAAGTCAAATATAATACATCTACTTTCTTAACCGGGTCATCGGAAGGCCGTCGTTTTATGTGACCAAACCATCTAAGGCGACTCTCTCTAATCTTATCTTCTACTGGAGATACTCCAACCTTTTCAGATATATGCTCATTTCGTATGCTATCTCTAATGGTAAAGCCACTCATCCACCTGAGCATCTTCATCTATGCCATACTTAACTTAGTATTATGCTTCTCTTTTAATGGCCAACATTCGACACCATAAATCATTACAGGCCTCATCACCATCTTATAGAATTTTCCCTTAAGTTTGAGGGGTACTTTTCTATCACACAACAAGCCCGATGCATTCCTCCACTTTAACCATCCAACTTGAATTCTGCTGATAATATCCCCATCTATATCACCATCACTCTGAACAATAGATCTCAGATATCTAAAACGTGTACTCTTATTAATAACTTGATCGCCCAAAGTCACAATCCCCTCACTAGGTCTATTACTACTAAAATTACACTCTATATATTCCGTTTTAGATCTACTCAAGCGAAAACCTTTAGACTCTAAGATTGACCTCCATAATTCAAGTTTACCTTCAACTCCCTCTCTAGTCTTATCAATAAGAAGAATATCATCAACAAAAGCATACACCAAGGTACATCCTCTTGCAAATGTTTAGTGAGAACATCCATGACTAAAGCAAAAAGATATGGGCTTAATGCTGATCCTTGATGTAATCCAACCGAAATAGGAAAATACTTGATCAAACCACCTAGTGTTTGAACACAAGTAATAGCTCATGCATACATATCTTTAATGATTTGAATATAAGCATTATTAACTCCTTTCTTTTCAAGAACTCTCCATAGCACTTCTCTTGGAACTTTATCATATGCTTTTTCTAAATCAATAAATATCATATGTAGATCCTCCTTATTTTCTCTATATTTCTCCATCAAACCTCTTAATAAATGTATGGCTTCCATATTCGACCTACCTGGCATGAATCCAAATTGATTTTGAGAAACATTAGTTCACGCTGCAACCTACGCTCCATAACTCGCTCCCATGGTTTTAAAGTATGCCACATTAACTTAATCCCTCTATAATTCGCACAATCTTGTGCATCACATTTTATTTTTAAAATAGCCACAAAATAAAAAAAAATCCACATGGTTCATGCACGTTATAGTTTCTTGGGACTTCATCATAGGATGTGGTTTGAAGCATAATTTATATGATGCAGCGACCACATTTAAACTTAATTTTACTAATATCCCTAAACTAGTAGGAAATTTATTTCACCTTCAAATGGGGCAACCCCCACTGCATTGCACCTCATCCACTTCAACCAGATCACTCCCTTTGTTGATATAAACCATTTTGACGGCAGTTCTCTAAAAATCAAAGATGAACTCACGGATGGATAACAGAAACATCTTTCATTAGCAAGTCAGTCTAGCGATACCTTGCCATCTCATTGTACAAGAATTATTGTTTAACATACATTGGAATCATTAATTTTGTTGATAAATTAAATTTTAGTTATATGAATCTATACATTATGATAAATGTAAAATTTTGTGCCGACTAATGCTCCCATATTTTTCATTTCATATTACTCGTTTCATCTGGAAAGAAGTTTCTTGCGAATTGACTTAAGCTCGTTTCTTTATTTCAAGCATTTTGTAGTACTGTAGGGAGAAATCACACAAGATTCAATACATGACCTATGTTTATAAACTGTTTTGCAGGCAATATTTCAACGTTATCCTCAGCCTGACAAGGAGTATCAATCATTTTCCCTTATATACAAGGACAGATCTTTAGACTTGGTTAGTATATTTGTTCTAGCCATGATTTTGCTGTTGAAATCATCATCTGCTTTTGTTGGGTGTCGTTAGCCCTGGTTTTTCTTTCCTTATTTATATCCTTGATATTGTTAGCATTTGTTTCAAGTTTATGTTTTGATAATGTCAATTACTTCTCCTTGTCCTATATCCTATGACAGATATGCAAGGACAAGGATGAAGCAGAAGTATGGTATGTTGGTTTGAAGGCATTGATTTCTTGTAGAAACCACCTGAAGAGATTGGAATCAAAAGCGGACAGATTATCTGATTCAAGTAGTTCAAAGTCAACTAGTTACAAACAGTCTCCATCGAACCTACCCTTTGTTAGTAGTACAATCTATCTTTACAGAACATTTCATAGTCCGATGACTGGAAGATTTTGTCCAGATAGAATCTTTGATAATTATGTATGTTGTTTTTTTTTTTCCTTTTCCTTTTTCAGAACCCTGAAAATAGACAACCAGTTGGTCTTTCTGCTTTGAATCCTCCAGCGAATGGTTTTGGGAGCGTGTTTTCTGATGTCATCCTATATACTGCACATACGGGTTCTTTTCAGTATGATTCAGTCAGTAACTCACTGAGTTCAGCCGCATCTGCAGACAACTCAAATGGCCGTGGTTCAACATCTGAAAATTTTAGGGTAAGTTTGTCTAGTGCTGTAAGCTCCTCAAGCCATGGATCAGGCCACAGGGATTTCGATACATTAGGAGATGCTTTTATTTGGGGGGAAAGTATTGGCGATGGGTTGCTTGGTGCTAAAAGTGATGCTTCTTTGCCAAAAGCATTGGAATCAACAGTTATTCTTGATGTTAACAGTATTGCTTGTGGTAGTAAGCATGCAGCCTTGGTTACAAAACAAGGAGAGGTCTTTACTTGGGGTGAAGAATCTGGTGGCAGGCTGGGGCATGCAATAGATGCTGATGTTTCACAACCAAAGCTTGTAAATGCTTTGAGCGGTATGAATGTTGAGTTTGTAGCATGCGGTGAGTATCATACTTGTGCACTAACATTTTCTGGAGATCTATATACATGGGGTGATGGTGTTTATAACTCCGGTCTACTAGGGCATGGGAGCGAGGCTAGTCATTGGGTTCCCAAGCTAGTGACTGGTCAGATGGGAGCTCTGCATGTGTCATCAGTGTCTTGTGGACCGTGGCACACAGCTGTTGTTACATCTTTGGGTCAGCTTTTCACATTCGGTGATGGAACATTTGGTGCTTTAGGTCATGGAAACCGTACAAGCATAAATGTACCAAGAGAAGTTGAAGCTTTAATAGGGCTGCGAACAATCAGCACGGCTTGTGGCGTTTGGCACACTGCTGCAGTTGTGGAGATGGAATCACAACCTACAGATTCTGACAGTTATATCTCCAGAAAATTATTCACATGGGGAGATGGAGATGAAGGTCGACTTGGACATGGAGACAAAGAACACAGGCTTGTTCCAGCATGTGTTGTTTCTTTGACTGAGCGAAATATTTGTCAGGTGGCCTGTGGGGATGATATAACAGTTGCGCTTACTGCTTCTGGAAGAGTTTATACTTTGGGAAGTACTATTTATGGGCAGATAGGGAACCCACAAGCTAATGGAAATATTCCCACAGTTGTGGAAGGAAAACTTTCTGATAGCATTGTTGAGCAGATATCCTGTGGTTCTCACCATGTTGCTGTGCTGACCTCAAAAAATGAAGTCTACACCTGGGGCAAGGGGACAAATGGCCAGCTCGGCCATGGAGATAATGAAAACCGTGATATACCTACGCTTGTTAAGGCCTTGAAAGATAAGCAAGTTAAGAGTGTTGCTTGTGGTTCAAATTTCACTGCTGTTATCTGTCTCCATAAATGGATTTCAGGTATTGATCGATCTGTATGTTCTGGTTGTCATCTTCCATTTGGTTTCAGAAGACAACGCCACAATTGCTATAACTGTGCTCAAGTCTTTTGCAAATCTTGCACCAGCAGAAAGTCTATTAGAGCAGCCTTAGCACCGAACATTCATAAACAATATCGTGTGTGTGATGCTTGCTATAACCAGCTAAGGAAGTCCGAGTCTGGAATTCATTCTCTTGTTTTAAAGCAACAAAATGCAAGTCAACGTCACATATCTACTCAGATGGCTGAGGAGATGGTAGTTTCGAGGCACTCTTCTGCTAGTTCCTTTAAAGGAGAAAGTAGGCACCCAAGGCAGAGTGAGAAATCAGAAAGCAATCATAACCCAATGTCCCTTGTCCAGAATGAATGCTTCCAAAGAGGAAACATACAGAAGCCAAAATCTAAAAATATTATAATCAGGTCTCCGATTACTAAATGCTCTGCTTCTGTTCCTGGTTCACAGTTAGTTTGCCGATCAATGTTTCCACTTGGAGTTTCCTTAGTTTCATTGCTCCCAGGAACCATTTCAACTGGTTTAGTATCAGCTGAAGTGCCTATTGATGAATTGAAAAAGACAAATGAAAGCTTAAGAGAGGAAGTTGCTCAGTTGAAGTTGCAGGTAATAATAGTCAGAAAGGATATACGTATTTTGCTATCAGCAATAATCAATCAACTTATTTAGTTGCAAAAAACTTAATCATTAAATTTGTTGTGGAAGCTAATCTTACAGATCTATAATAGTTTCATTTGAAAAAAAATCAAAGCTAGTTTCATTTAAGCATTTTTCTTGACTGACTAATGATCTCATGCAGCTTTTCTTATCTTGGCTTTTGATTCTTAATCACAGTTTCAGAAACTCAATGTGAACCGAATAATAAGATTGTGTGATAAAGATCTTTTGCTTGCTGACTAATGACTACATGGTAAGAAACCAAGCATATTATGCGAGTGTCAAAGACCACCTGGTTCTTTCATTACCCTTATTGAAAAGTGTTGTGGATCATTTTGCTGCAGTTTTAACTGCTGAGTCTCAGCTGGTCTTATTGAGTAACATGCTTGTCTTTTGGCTTTGTTCTCATCAATATTAGCTTGAACAACTCTCTATCATCAGACACAAACACTAACACAGTTCCTTTCTCCCTACCTTCCTCCTCTCCCTCTTTCTCTAACTTTTTATCTCTTTCCCAACATATACATGCTCATTCTTTCCCTCTCTTTCCTCTCTTCCCTTCTACACTTACTCTCAGCCTTCTCTCCCTCTTTTGTCCTTCTCCTCGCTCTCTACACATGATTATTTTTTTTTTTACATTGTGATCTTATGAGGAGATGTTATTCCATTCCATTTATGTGATTTGCCTTGGTTTTTATGTGTTTTTTTGCCTTTCTCTTTACACATGCACACTCTTAAGATCTTTTTTTTTCCTTTATTATCCAATGCAATGGTATTATTTCCACTCACAGCTCTCCCATCCACAAACCAACACACCCAATTCTTGTCTTGATTTCATAAGAAAAAAAGTATTATAATTATTATCATTAACTTTATTGCAACTATTTTGAGCGAACTTTATAAAATTTTCTTGCCTACTCATTCTTGCCGAGTGATACATGGAAGATAAACTTTTTTTTAAGTAAAACTTTTTACTTAGCTTCTATCTATTTTACTTTTGATCTACAAGTTTTTTTTCTAATCAGTCCAAATTAATTCTATATGCATATCTTATTGGTACATCTTCCTTCCATTGTTTATGACTAAATGACAATCTATTATTTCATTACCTTTTTTAATAATGTTAATCCCACTATGCCTTTAATTAGTTCATTTCCAGATTTATCATCCTTTAGTTTTGGAATACAGTCAACCTACAATTCTCATTTCAGTTACATCAACTTAGATATTAATGACTTCTTATATCCATATAGCATAGCCAATATAATTGTTGTTTTATAATTTACTTTTATGTTGCAAGATATTATATTATCACATAATATTCCAAAGATACTTATCCATATTAATTCTAAAATTTAACTCTTGATGTTATGTTTTAGTTAATATTCATATCTTTTGTATAATAAATGCATAATATTTAAAATTATCACACCAAGTATTATTGCAAATTTCATATAGTAGATACTCTACTTAAAGTAAGCGTCATCATTACCATTAGAAAAAGATATAACCTTAATCTTTATCGTGCTTTGAAACATGTGTGATGGTAAATAGAACTTATCATTTTAGCATTGAACAAAATTTTGTATGCACAAAAATAAGTTAAAAGCAGCTCCTAGAAGGTGTAATATATTTTATGTGAAAATTGAGAAGAAGAAAAATCAAAGGATCTAACCTAGTTAAAATGATTCCACTAATATGAGTAGGATATTACAAATGTTGCTTTTCCTCATACCGGGGAAGACAAAAATACAATGTCATAGGTATGAATATGGGAAGATAAGTAGGAGCCTTGAGATGCTTGAGTTGTCATAGAGCTATGTTGGTTGGTCATCTTGATCGCTTTCCTGAGTTTCCTCATAGGAGGAAAGATTAGGCAATAAAAAAGATGGTTGTCACATGTTGGCATGTAAGGTATAGATCATTACCATGTATAAAAAAAATGACCGATTAGGAATGTTAGATGCCAAGTGATAATCGTTGGTTCGCTCAATTATTCTCTTTATAGAAGAGTGGATCCGTGACGAAGAATACAGATGTTAGTGGCTAACAGATGCTAGATATTGGAGAGTGAGAAACAAAGATTTGCCTTGAATGTTGTGCATCAATTTTAGTCAATGTACTACTCGGTTATTTTTCTTATAAGATGGGAGAACAATAACCAATAATGAAGGCTTTAAATGTTGTTATTTGACATACATCATACATTAGTGGGTGTTGAATGACATTTGACTAGGCATGCTAGACATAGGACAATAATTAGTGGTTTTCTTAGTCATTCTCTTTACAAGTGAGGAGAATGGTGACTAGGAAGACATGCGTTGAATGTCTATAATTGATCGGCATTGGAGATTGGTAGGTTTTAGGTGACATGTGTTAGCGTTGGGTAATGGTAGGCTTTGGCATTAGGCGATGGCTAGTGTTGGGCTTTGATGAGTGTTAGCGTTGGTTGCCAGTGGGCATTTGCTTTTCGTGACAATGGGGGCACTGATTTTGGTTGATGGTCAGAGTTAGATATTGATGTCTAAAGCTATGAAATTCTCTAAGTCCAGGAATTTTCTCCACCAATATCCTATCACAGATCCTCCAAATTTATAAAAAGAGGGTCTATTTATTGACACACCATCATATAGTCGGAGTTGATCCCTTTGATCATTTAATATTTTTAAATATCTTTTTGTCTTAATGATTCAATAATTAAACAATCTTAGGCTAGTTAGATTGATTTTATAGTGACGTTCATTTCAACCGTAATCACATAAAATTTAAACGTCATTTGATCACTCAAATGGTCACAAACACTTTCCAATAATACTTCTAGTGCTTGATTTAGATCATTGGACTTATATGAAGGTGTTTTTTGTATCATTGGGTTTGTCTTATCAAGAATATTATTTTAACTATAAGATTGCCAAACATTAAGTTGAAATGATCTCAAAGTCAATTATGAAAGTTTGTAATTTAAACATTAGATGCTTTGAGACATTAAATTTTGCATAGAGATTTGTGGATAATCATTTTTTTAAAGATGTATTAGTTGTCCCTTATTTTTCGATATCAAAACCTTAAAGTCCAAAAATAATTCAGGTGCCAACACCTTGAATGTCAGTATGGACCTCCCCTCAAGACTATGAACCATGCAATTCAGCATTCATTGTAATTTCATTATTCAATTAAGTGACACATTGTTTGAGACACAAATTGCTACATAATTTTATCTAAAACTCTCCAAAATTGCTCAAAGTTGCTTATAGATGATTGCTGAAATTTTGAAAGTGCAAAAATTAAGTTTGGTACTTAAATAACCCTAGGAGATTAGAAAATGTTGGAGAACGCCCAACAACTAGATAACCAATGGTGGTAATGGAGCCACTATATCCAAAGGCACGCATGTATAATTGACCCTGCTTTTTTTCATTTATTTAAACATATCTTTTAATAAAAATTATAATATAAAAATAATTATTTTTTCTCTAGAAGTGAATAAATTGGCCAAAAACTTTTAGAAAATTTCTTTTTCTTGTTTCATCCAAATTTTATAAAAATCCCTCCAAATGGCATAGAGGAGATTGAATTTTTCCTTCTTGGGTCTTGATTTTTCTCTTTAAAAAGAGACAAAAATTGAACTACAATAGGCATAAGTGTGAACGACAGTCGAGGTTTATAATCCATGCAATGAGGCTTTGATCCTCCTCTAAAATGAGACCATCCTTATTTGGACTAGTTAGATTTGATAAGAGGTGATCAAAATTCATAATTCGATAAGAGGTGATCAAAATTCATAATTCCTATAGTAAGGCTCCATTCCTCTTAAAACAAGATTGAATTTTCTTGTTTGTATGAATAAGATTCAAGGAGGGCTATTTAAGATTCATAATCCTTACTACGAGGCACCATTCTTCCTTTAAAAATGGGATTGATTACCCCTTTTTGAACTAATTAGATTTTTTTATAGTTATTTGTGGTTCATAATCCTTGTGTTAAGGCTCTAATCTTCCCTTAAAAAAGAGTAGATTATTTATAGCTTTTTGGAGGAGCATCCTACTTCTTTTGACTATAAATCAAATCACTCCACCATTGATCACATTGGTTATGTAGTATTTTCTAGATATCTTAGTGTCTTAATGATATCAAATATTGAGAGAACTTGAGTTTATTAGATTTGTTTCGGCAAGATGTTTATTTTGACTATAAGCATGCAAATTTCAACGATAATTTGGTCCCTTAAATGGTCCTATAAAATTTCAATAATATTTTCAGTGTTTGATTTAGGCTCATTTGGATTTGGATTAAGGAGTTCTTAGTATTGTTAGGTTCATCTTATCATGCTCATTTTGACCGTAAATTTGCTTAAAATGTTGTTCAGATGATCTTCAAGTCAATTCTGCGCATCTATGATTTGAATATTTGGATGTTTTATAATATGAGAGTTTGCAATGAGATTTGTACATAATTAGATTTTTTTTTTGTGATGCTGAAATGTTAATATTTAATGTAATCCTATTATGTTTGGAAATTCTTTAATTTCACAACAGTTGCTAACATTATTCATTAATCTATTATAATATTTTTAATTAGTCTTGCTTACCTTTGAAACACATTCCATCTCTTCAATTCCCATCAAATTAATTTTGTGGTGTCTGATCATATGAATTTTCAAGATTAACAAAAATAATATGATTGCTTTCTATTTCTTCTTTGCTATTGCCTTAGCACTAAAATCATCTTTGTCGTTAATTTTCATGGTATAAAAGGAATTTTCAAGATATAATTAATTGTCATTATTCATTAATCTATTATTTCTTTAGTGTTATTGCCTTAGCACTAAAATCCCCTTGCAAGCTTCGTTCTTTGCAAGGACAAATGGCTTTCATTCGGTGATTCATATCGAATCTGTCGGGTAGATGCCAGTCATTCTCCAAATTAACAAAAATCGCATGATGACTGTTGTATGGTAGATAAAGGTTGGAGTAACTCCAATGGCATATAAAATTAGAGAAAGTATCCTTGGAGGGTTTGGACACATAAAACGTCGGCCTTCTGATGACCCGATTAGGAGTGTAGATGTATTAGATTTGGCCTATGTTAAGAAAGGTAGAGGTAGAGATAAAAAGACTTATTAGAGAATATTAGAAATGGCTTTTTTAATAGATTTGAATGAGTATGTGAGTCTTAACAGGACACAATGGAGAAAAATGATTCATGTAGCCAACCCCATGTAATGGGATAAAGGCTTCTTATTGTTGTTGTTGTTGAGAAATAAATGAGCTCCTCCTGTTTTCCATTTTGTCATGATTGACTACCACTTTTGGCCCCTTGTTAGAACTTCTATTCGTCATGCAGGTATTATGAGGAAAATATCCCTGCTAAACGGGTTTTTGTTCATACTTTGCATTTGACATATTTATTGAATTTATTTAGTTTAGGTGTTGTGGAACTCCTTTGCAGCTTGAGTGTCTTACACAGAAGTTTCAAAATATGGAGTCTGAATTTGAGAGAAAATCAGTTGAACTGAAAGAAGCTATTGCAAAAGCAGCGGAGGAAAATGCAAAATGCAAGGCTGCTGAGGAAGTTATCAAGTCTCTTACCTCACAGGTAATTACTTTTCTTTTATATGAGAACACTCTAGTTGAGTCTTTATCTAGTTTGGTGGGATTTCTAATATATAAATTTGAGAATGTACTACTATTTTATTTGTCAGTAAGAAATTTACTGTCCATATTTTTCATATGTCTTTAATTTAGTTTCAATTTGCTAATTGCGGGCATGTGTGTTATAGTTCTTCAATTTTCACATTAGTTTTGCACGTATCTGTGATGGGGACATCAGATCATGGAAGGTTTATCAGAGACGTGGTCGTCGATCTACGGCCACGATTTAGTCATTGTATTTTTGATTTGTTTTATGTATTTTCTTATTTATGATGTCCTATTGTATTTGCTTTATTAGTTTCCAATTGTACCCTTTTATTAAGGGTTGTCGTATGTAAGCTCTAGGGGCATTGTCGTCCTTTATGTTTGAGTCTTTGTAAGAGGCTATTTATAGCCCCCTTGTTCTTCTTTGCAAGTTAATGAATGATTGAATAAAATATTTCTTTCCCTTGCATGAGTTATTGTGAGAGCTTGAAAAATCGGAGAGAGATCCCTAGGAGAGGGAGAATTGCGTATCACCAACCAACCTAGACGAGTCGGGTTCGAGGTTCTATTTCGTATCTCTTCCTTTTTCCTTCCACCATCATCGGCCAACATCATACCCATGGTTTCTCCCTTCCCCAAGCCCTTCCCCTTCTCTCCACCAAACTCCACATAATTCCCACCTAGCCTCCACCCCCATACCCGTAACCCCTTCAACCCGCCGGCCCTAGATCCCCTCCCCATTGCTTTCCCTTGCCTAATTTGGACAGATTTTGGAATTCAAATTCAAACAATTTAAAATTTAAAATATTTCCTAAATTACCAAATTATTTTAGGAAAGTTCCTAAATTAAATCTATTTTAATTTCAAATTCAAATTGGATTTAATTAAATACTTTCCTAATTCCTAAACCTAAATTTAGCAAGCTTTAAACACTTGATTAAAGCCCTCCTCCCCATTAATGCCGCCGGCCCCCCTCTTTGGGATTGGGATAGGAAATCTTTCCTAAACCCAATTCTTTATTTTGAAAATAATTTCAAATCCCATATTCCCTCCTTGGCCGAAATCCTCATTGATTTAATTTCTTTACAAAAGGGAGTCTCTCCTTATGGAATTAAATAAATCCTCCCCCACCCCCCTTGCCGCGACCCCCCCTCTTGCCTTTTCTCTCTTCCTTTAATTATTCTCAATTAAGAGAATACTTAGGAAGTATTGAATTAAAATTTCCTCCATCTCTTTTCCCAAAATCTGAACCAAAAGCCTTAACCTTGCTCTCACTCTTGGGCGGCCACCTCTTTTCCCTTATACCTCTTGATTTCTCTAGCGTATCTCCTCCACCTCAAAAGGAATCTTCAAGGGAGGCATCAACGATCGTCGTCAACAACTCAATCTCAAAGACATGCATGACCGATCCGGATCTTGATTACGGTCTCTCTTACGATGAACATAAATTTGTTTGCATCTTGCATTCGACCTTCTTCGACTTCAATCCCCGCATCGATCACACCGTAGAAGAATACGTGGAGCGCATCTTGGACACCCTGGTTGAGGCTATTGAAGAGCAACTTGAGATCGTCGAGTGGAGGATTGCAACCGATCCTTGACGAAGGTTTTCTAATCTTCATCTTCTCGTATTTCTTAAGTCTAATCCTTTCTTTGTGATTTGATTGTAGTCATGAAGGTCGCATTTGCCCGATTTTGCTAAGCTTAGTAAACGTAGGGATTTGAGCGCATTCATTTGTTTTCTAATCTTATTGTTAGACTAGTGATTTTCATTGAAGGCTACTACTTTGCATGATATTGTTTTTCCTAGGATATTTTGATGATTCAAATCTCTTGATATGCAACTTAGCCTAAATGAAAGTGACCGCTCTTATGTTTTGATTCATCGTTTTATTCATTAATAGTTCTATTTGTTATTTCTCTAATCAATAAGTTGTGCAAGCTCTTAATAAAACCATTGCGAGCATTGTAGTCCTACATCATCTGGTATCAGAGCATGCTTAGCTTAGGATTTTCATGCTATAAATCATCCTAAGGCTTTTTGTAATCATGCTTAGTTAATTCCACATGCATAGCATCTTTTAAAACATTTTAATCATCGTTTATGTTTGTTGTCCAGAAAATTCTGCACTCATTTAGTGAGCATTAAGGCTTGTTTTTTAGGTATTTAGGTGTTGCCCTCATTATAACAACTTCCCTAGTTGCCTAGAGACACTTATAGTTGTTGTCCAAACATTTCCTGCACCATTTAGTGACATTGTAGAGAGTCTACCCTTGCATTTAAGTGTTGTCCACTACTTAGTTTCACCCCCAAGTGTCCCCTAGTGTCTACCCTTGAAGGACTTTAGACTTGTTGGTATGCCAAATGAATAATATTAGCCAGCAACTCAAAGAGAACCAAGCCGACCTAACTGAGCTTCTTCGTAGAAACACCACTGAGCGATTTGACACACTTGAACGAGCTAGAGAGCATCCTACTCCCTACAGCTTATCTAGACCACATTCTATGTATGGGGATGACGCTTACCTGGATGAGAGGCAACATCGTGCCAATCATCGAGTTTCTTACCATGGACATGACCCATGTCATGATCCTGATATACCACTCATGAAAAATATTAAAGTTGACACTCCTACCTTTGATGGCACCCTCGATCCCAAGTTCTTCCTGGACTGGGTCAAATGTATGGATAGTTTCTTTAAGCGGTATAACATCTCCGAGGCTAGGAAGGTTAGTTTTACGGAGATGAAGCTCACGGGTAGGGCGAACCAATTTTGGGCCAACTTAGAGAACCTTAGGGAAGCTAGGAATGATTACCCCATCAATGATTGGTCATCCATGAAGCGGGAACTCAACAGAAGTACTTACCTCCCTCGTACTTCCCCTGACTATTGGATAGGTGGAATAGGCTGACTCAAGGCAACAAACCAGTTAAGGAGTACATCGCCTCCTTTGATGTCTTCCTGATTCCCTGCAAGGGGGGGACCTCTACCACCCCCGGGCAAATTTAGTTTATGTTTCGAACCGGGTTGTGTGAGGATCTTCACAATGAGCTGTTTGCCCGGAATGTCACTACACTGAAAAATGCCTACAAACTAGTGCTTGATTTAGAGGAGACCTGTTCACAGCACTCGAGTCGTTCACATGACTCTAGGTCCTCCTACATACCGTCTGGTAGTTCCACTCACACTTCTGCTCCCCGGCCTACTTATGGGAGCACGACCCGACCACACATGGGTCATCCTGCACCTCGATCTGATTTTAGGAATAAACCTCCCACCCCGGATACCCCTCGGTCCAGTCCTGGGACCAAGTGGTTTCGATGCCAGGGGTATGGGCATATCGCTTCTCAGTGCTCCAGTCCCTATAAAGTCTCGATCATCGAGGAGATTACTGAAGACGAACTCTAGCCCGAGGTTGACAGATCCACCAGGTCGAGGATGAAGGCGAGTAGTTCGAGGAGGATGACGACACTACAGTCCTCAATTGCCTTCAGAAATTGGATACCTTTCCTATCTGCGTGGTGAGATGTGCGCTATCACACCCGACACCCACGGATGACTGGCGTAGGACCGCGATTTTCCACACCTACACCAAAATCAAAGACAAGAATTGTAAGGTCATCTTGGATAGTGGTAGCTGCATAAATATTGCTTCTTCCAGCATGGTATCCAAGTTGGGTCTTTCTGTCGTTCCTCACCCTGTTGACCTGCTGTAAAAAAAAAATCAAAAATAAAAAAATAAAATCAAAATCCCTACCTGCTCCCTGCTCCCGCACGTCGTAGCCACGACGCCTCGTCACTCGCACGATCTCGACGCTCTTCCCACGTCGCCTACACGACGCTCCTGCGTCGTTAAAAAGCCAAAGGGAATGAGAGAGCGGGGCTCTCTCACGTTCGGCTCTCTCTTCCCGCAAGCTCTCTGTCCGATCCTCCCTCTGTTTCCACGACCAGAGCCGGCCGAACTCCCTCCGACGCCGTTCGACCACGCTCCTCCGACCGACTTCCCTCATTCGACGACTTTCCCTTCTCGGTCGGGTCGGATCGGAAGCCAGAACGGGTGCTCGCTTGCTCTGAAGGAAACTTTCTCCCGTTCGATCGCTTCTTCGACTCCCTCTGGCTGTTCGACTGCGCTCCTTCGACGGCATTCCCATCCCGTAGGACCGGAAGCTACAACATTTCGATCGGGAGTGAGAACAGGAGCTCGCAAGCCGTGAAGGTGACTTTCTCCCCTTTGAGCTCCTCCTGTTTTCCATTTTGTCATGATTGACTACCACTTTTGGCCCCTTGTTAGAACTTCTATTCGTCATGCAGGTATTATGAGGAAAAAATCCCTGCTAAACGGGTTTTTGTTCATACTGTGCATTTGACATATTATCATTTGACATATTTATTGAATTTATTTAGTTTAGGTGTTGTGGAACTCCTTTGCAGCTTGAGTGTCTTACACAGAAGTTTCAAAATATGGAGTCTGAATTTGAGAGAAAATCAGTTGAACTGAAAGAAGCTATTGCAAAAGCAGCGGAGGAAAATGCAAAATGCAAGGCCGCTGAGGAAGTTATCAAGTCTCTTACCTCACAAGTAATTACTTTTCTTTTATATGAGAACACTCTAGTTGAGTCTTTATCTAGTTTGATGGGATTTCTAATTTATAAATTCGAGAATGTACTACTATTTTATTTGTCAGTAAGAAATTTACTGTCCATATTTTTCTTATGTCTTTAATTTACAAAGTTTCAATTTGCTAATTGCGTGCATGTGAGTTATAGAATCAATTTGTCTAACTTGCATACTTTCTTCAATATTCACATTAGTTTAGCATCTATCTGTTTGCTGCAGATATTTATGAACTACCTCATCATACACGCTGTTCTGGTTTTGATTTATTTGTTTAACGTTTTGCAGTTGAAGGATATGGCAGAAAGGGCACCTGAAGTATGCATAAACGATCACTCTCACTCTGATGTCTCATATGCCTCCAACGAATTGAAGTTAAATTTAAGTGGAACTAGGCTCAACCATCTTTTAAGCAAGCATTCCCAAGATTCAAATGGGCATATTAGCGACTCATTGCCATCTATTGCATCTGATACTTCAGAAGGGGTAGAGTGGGTTGAACAGGCTGAGGCAGGGGTGTATATAACCGTTTCATCTTCTCCTTGTGGTGCAAAGATCCTCAAGAAGATACGTTTCAGGTACAGTGTCTTTTTTTTTTCTTTCTAAAAGCATATTTTTATAATTAGTTATTGATATAAGTACAACATAAGACAATTACAAAGAAATAATATAGGAAAAAAAATACAAAATTAAAATTAACACAATGAAAGAAGATGAAGAAGAAAAGAAAAAATTGCATAAACTGTAAATATGTCTTGTTTAAAGTCTAGTGAATTTTGAGTAGTGACTATAAATTTTTGAAAAGATAAATAACGGAGGTTTGACAATGTTATTCTTTCCTCCCTAGATATTATGTTTTAAATCTAAATTTCTTAATTTATGCTAAATAGGCTATTATCCCACAACTTATGGTTAATGGATTGTATAATATGATTTGTACAAAAGCTATATTAGATCAAACAAGTTTTCAAATTTATTCTGTATTATATGACTGAAATGGGCTAATATTTATTAGCTTTATTTTCATACGCATCTCTTATATATCTCATAGATTGCAATGCTTGATAGTTCTTTTAATAAATTTATCAAAAATATATAGTCTTTCATTATGTTTTTTTTTTTTAATTAAATAAATATTTTGCATATGCAACGCTAAATAATTTTTATTTTATATAGTTTGCACTTAAAAGCAAAGACATGCTAATCTTGTAAACCTTCATTTTTATTAATTCTTTAAAAATGTCATATTTTCTATCAATAGTTAACAGATTATTTTAATGGTTAAAATATCACGATTATCAACAATAGTCGTGTCTAACTATTTGAGGTTGCCTTTATAAATCTCCTATTCATTTCTGTTGGGTGCTGTGTAAGGTGCTAACTGCAATGTCTATGCAGTTTTTTTTCCGCATGTGCTTTTGCAAATTACATGATATATATGTTTAGAATATACTCGTTGCGAAGTTCTATTAATCAGAATGTCGCTTGCCTGTTAATGAAGAAAACAAATAAAATCAGATTCTCTAAACAGTTATTAGATTGATATTAAGATGAATGCAACATATAAGAGATCAGTTAAATTTTATATTACACTCATCTCAAAATAAATCTAATAACTTCAAAATTTATCATGACCAAAATTTTAGTTAGAATAATCACAAAATAGTTAGGTTTACTTTGAAATGAGTGCAATATATAATGAATCAATCAAATTTTATATTGCATTCATTTTAAAAGAAATTTAATACTTCTGAGATCATCTTAATAAAAAATTTGGCCAAGAGATCCTCAGCCAAATTTTCCCTTGTTAATCTAAAATGACGAATAATTTTAGTGTCAAACATTTCTCAGTTGTTTTTGTTTAAAAATCTGAAAATCTACTGCTTTAACTTACACACCAACTGAATTACTTACCTATGTTTTGGCCTTTTTTGGATATTCTTTATGTACAGCCGTAAACGGTTCAGTGAAGAGAGAGCAGAAAGTTGGTGGGCCGAAAACAGGCAGAAACTTCAAGACAAGTACATTTTCCCAGCCGCTGGAGTTGGTTCACTTTCTATGAAGAAGAATAGCACCATTGGATAGTGGATGAAATTCTCCTCCATATACCAAATGGATATATTAGGCCTGGACTCACTCTCGATTCACATCTCAATTGGAAGCTAAATATGCTTCAATACCAACATAGTTTCTTTTCCCTGTATTTTCCCATTGGAAAAAAGTAGAGCATTATTTCTTGTAAATAATTTGTTCAAGTTACCTTCATTCTCAACATTCATAAATTTCAATTAAATCAATAATATCAACATATATATATTTTTTTTTGAGTTTTCTTAGAAATTCTGTGGTTCATCAAAAAATTTGGTGAAAATATCCATCTAAATTTGATTATGATGGATCTTATAGTCTTTCAATTTATTTTGAGATGATTACAATTGAAATTTTGATGTAAAATTTTTTTTTTTTCTGAATAATGAGCTTATGTTACTTTGTATGTTGGTTGATTAAATTGGTACTGAGTATTTACTGTTCGGATTGTATATAGTATTTGTAGTTGGTTTTCTGTACCCCCATTGAATAAAAATTATAATTTTAAAATAGCTTACTATTTGTATTAAAACAATTGTCATTTCAAATTATGACCCAAACCGTTATGTGATCCATGTACAATTGTCCATATTGTTTAGCTGGTCGAGACTTCCTTGTCCTCATAGGAAGAGGAATTAGGCGGCCTCAATGAAACTTTTTGACCTTTTTTTTATCTTTGCGCTTTAATACTAGATCAAGAGGAATTATGATCATCTCAGACTATAAATATTATATATTTTCTATTTATATGAGTGGTTTACATGTGTGATGCAAAATTATCTTAATGAATCATTGAAAATAAAATTTGATAATTTGATAATTATTTTTAGAAATTTAAAAAAAATATATGCAAAAATTATAATATCATTGATACATCAATGAAAATCATTATTATCGAGCATGAATGTCGGTGCATATTTGAATTAAACCTTTCTTAAATTAAATTCAGGAACATATAAACTTCAATTTCGACAAATTTATGGTCGAACTGAATGTCTCGACGAGTCGAACATAGCGGTATTAAAACTTGTCTAATCTGAGCATAAATGAGCCCATATCAAATACTTAAAATGTAATTGAAAACTTCATGACATTAATTGGATGACCAAACGATTTTCAAATCTTGCATCCTTATAGTCAAGTCAAGTGTCTAGGCGAGACGAATCTAATGAGCCCATTATCTCTTACTTCTTACAACATTAAGGTAGTTAAAATGCTAAGCGAAAGCTCCATAATCAAGAGAATCAATATAGGTCATTTAATGAAGTGTTTGGGATTTTCTCCATGTTTATAGAGAATGATACACTCAAAACCTATAAATAAGCACCAAATCTCTACTTGAAGAGGGGGCTAGAGCTAGGGTCCAATTTTGGAGAAATTATTGTGCGGATGCCAAATGCAATTTACTGTTCGGAGACCAACCAGAATATGCCATGTTAGTAGTATTGAGCCGGGTACCGAGTGGTATCGAGCAGTACCGCCTCGGGTACCGAGCAAGGGGTGATGTGGCGCATTCAGGTTGGTTTTTGGATTGCATTTGACGTCCGCACATAATAATTTCTCCCAATGAGAAATTATTCTGTGTGGACGCCGAGCACAGTTTAACGTCCGGAGACCAACCAGAATCCGTCAGATCAGCAGTACCAAGCCAAGTACCGAGCAGTACAGAGTCGCGGTGCCAAGTAGTATCGAACTGAATACCGAGCAGAGGGTGACATGACGCATTCAATAAAGCTCAAAGGCTCTAAGAATCCGAGAGCTCCCCCTAAGCATCAGAATATAATATGACTATGATTCTCTAACCAACCTCACTCGACTATAGTCCTTCGACCTCCGTCCCCTAACTTTACCCGATCACAATCTTCCAACCACTGACCATTATAACTCAACTATGATCCTTTGGCCACCGCCGTCTGACTTCAATCATTCGTTCTTTGTTGCCCAATTACAATCCTCCAACTACTATTATCTAACTATGATCTACCGCCCTCTTTTGCCCGACTATTATCCTCTATCATACAACCTTTTGATCGTTGTTATTTATCAACACCAACGTCTAGTGACTTTAGTACCTTCCATCGCTAATAATATGATCTGAAACACTTGAAGATCTTAAGAATTTACTATCAATATTTAAAAAACAACAAGAATTCTCCACAAAAATCCAAACAAAACCCGAAGAACATAATATAATTTGTATTATTTGATGAAATAGAAATAGAAAAATACCAAGATACAATTGATGCTCTATTTGAGAGGAGGATCTATTTCTCCTAAATCTCTAAACACTGCTAGAGCCCAAAAACTTAAGAGATGTCCTAACCCTAGCAAAACATACCATAAAATTTAAAAAGAAATATCTAAACAACCCCTACTTAGAAATTTCTCTTCTAACTCCCTCAAAAATCCTTACTAAACTGTTATGTTGGCTTGTGCGATTCAAGCAGCGTACAGAAGAGGCGAAACTCTTCCACCTCTGTCTCCGTGAGCTGGTCTTGTATGGACCAGCTGGATCGATCCAATGGACCGGTCTAACATAATATCAAAGCATGCCATTGTTTATTAGATCGATGCAAGTCATCAACACGAACTCTAACTCTCAATATCAACACTGGTATTTATTTTAGACATCTATTAGAACGATGAATGCAATCAACACCAACTCTGACTCCTAATGTCAGCACTAGGATTTTCTTTAGTCTTCTTGGTCTTTGATATCTTCTTGTCAAATAAGAACAAGCAATCAACCAAACAAACAAATAATCTCTTAAAGACATCACTCACGCTCACACCATAGAGCTCTTCCAACTTCAATCACATAATATTTTATATATATTGTATGTTTATTACATTGAATCAATACATTCCCTAAGAAATGACATCTATGTGTGTGTGTGTGTGTGTGTGTGTGTGTATATATATATATATATAAGATTGGCATGAATGTTTATGCTTAACTGATAGAACTTGATATGCTAACCTGATTCCTAGAACTGGTTGCAACGGTTGATAAATTCTAAAGTTAAAAGGGAACTGGTTGCAGCTGGCCAAAAGGATCTAGTTTAATCAACATGATTCATCACTCTTTATCATTTAGATTATAAAGATTGTAAAGTTATTCCGAGTGAAAGTTTTATACCCAACATCATTTATTAGTTTTAAATTTCAAGATGAATGGGATAAATATAAAAAATAAAGTAAAATATTGTCTTAAGATTAGATGGAGGCATTTAAAGAATATTAATAAAAATATTTTTGAAAGTAAGATTCAAAATATTAAGATTTTGACTGTGCTTGAGAAAACTAATATTATGTAGGAAAAAATAGCTAGTGATATTAAAAATATTATAAAAGATATGATTAGAGTATCAGAAGGAAAATGTCATAAAAATAAAAATAGTTGGTGGTCGAATCAAAATGTACAAGAAAATATTAAAAATAATAAGCTTTGTTATAAAAATTAGTTTAAATGTAAAAGCTCAAAAAAATGGGAAAGATATAAAGAGGCCTATCAGGAGTCTAAGAAAGCAACATGCGTGACAAAAATTTTTATTTTTAATGATTTATATAATATATTAGATATTAAGGATGATGAAAGATATATGTATAACTTAGTCAAGCAAAGAGATAGGAGAAGTAAGAATTTAGTTCAAGTAAAGTATATTAAGAATGAAGATTAAAAAGTTTTTATTAGAATAAGATATTCAGCAAAGGTTGATGAGATATTTTGAAAAACTTTTCAATAAAGCTTGTGATAATATGATTTATTTTAGTGACCTTAATAGCTTAAATGAAAATGTCTTAGAGAGACATTGAAGAAAATGAAGTGTGAAAAAGCTATTGGACTTGATGATATTCCAATAAAGGTGTGGAAATGCTTAGGAGATGAAAGAATTTATTAGCTTGTAAAATTTTTCAATATTATTTTGAAAACTAAAAAGATGTCAGATAAGTGGAGAAAGAATGCGTTGATTCTTATTTTTAAGAATAAAGATGATACACAAGAGAGTGTGAATTATAAATGAATTAAGTTAATGTGTTAGACATTAAAACTATGGGAGAGAGTTATTGAGCATAGGTTACAATGTGATACTAATGTTTCTCAAAATCAATTTAGATTCATGCTATGTATTTCTACTATGGAAGTTATACATTTATTGAGAGGTTTGATGGAGAAGTATAAAGAGAATAAGGAGGATCTATTTATGATTTATATTATTTAGAGAAAGCCTATGATAAAGTTCCAAGAGAAGTGTGCTTTAGAGAGTTTTAGAAAAGAAATGAATTAATAATGATTGTATTCAAGTCATTAAATATATGTATGCATGAGCTATAACTTGTGTTCAAACACAAGTTGGTTTGACCAAGTTTTTCCTATTTCAGTTGGATTACATCAAGGATCATCTATAAGCTCATATCTTTTTGCTTATGTCATGGATGTTCTTATTAGACATTTGCAAGAGGATGTACCATGATCTGTGCTTTTTGCTAATGATATTCTTCTTGTTGATAAGACTAGAGAGGGAGTTGAAGGAGAACTTGCATTACAGAGGTCAAATTTAGAGTCTAAAGGTTTGTCGTTTGAGTAGATCTAAAATCGAATACTTTGAATATAATTTTAATAATAATAGCTCTAGAGGGGATTGTGATTTTGAGCGATTAAGTCATTAATAAGAGTACATTTTTTTAGATATCTCGGGTCTATTGTTCAAAGTGATGTTGAAATAGATTAAGATATTATTAGTAGAATTCAAGTTGGATGGTTGAAGCAAAGGAACGCATCCAACATGTTGTGTGATAGAAAAGTACCCCTCAAACTTAAGGAAAAAATTTATAAGGTGGTGGTGAGAACTGTGATACTTTATGGTGTAAAATGTTGTCCATTAAAAGAGAAGCATAAAATTTAATTGTTGCAGAGATGAGGCTGCTCTGGTGGATGAGTGGCTTCACTCTTAGAAACAGAAAGCAAAACGAGTATATACGTGAAAAGGTTGGAGTAGCTCTAGTAGTAGATAAGATTAGAGAGAGCCTCCTTAAATGGTTTTGTCACATAAAATGTTGGCCTTCCGATGAGCTAGTTAGAAGAGCAAATGTATTAGATTTGGCCTATGTTAAGAAAAAAAGAGGTAGACCTAAAAATACTTGGTTAGAAAATATTATAAATGATCTTTTTTTTATTAGATTTAAATGAGAATTTGTCTTTTAATAAAACACAATGGATAAAAAGTATTCATAGAGCCGACCCCACATAGTGGGATAAAGGCTTGATGTTGTTGTTGTACAATTCATCATCTATAATGGTGTTAGTAGTACCCATACTTATATACTGAATATCCATTGAGCGATATAAAGTTTCGATTGGTTGGTTCATTTTTTTTCAAATTCCAATGATATAATTCATAGTGGATGTGTGTATGGTGAGTTTTTGTTTTGACAGAAGGGAAGAAAATGGTTACTTGAATCTTTTAGAAATGTTCACGGTGTTATGCATGCTTGACAAATCTAAGAAGTTGGTGTGAACACTGTTCCCAATGATGTTCATGTCTTGCCAATAGTTTCCTGCTGCTTCCCTATTGCAGGTTGTTCACTTTTGCGTCCTCTGCTGGCTTGTTATCTCTATCTGTTGATGCCTCTAGTAGCTTATCTCCTTCAAATTCCTTTCTATTTCACGCCAGCTAATCTGTAGTCACACGTTGGGATTTGCTACAATGTCGCACCACCTCTCTGTTTGTATTTTAGCTCAGCTTCTTTGCTGTTTTACCGAATCCTTCAGCAAATCGAGAATTGAATCTTATTGAAGGATTTTTGTTAATAGAATTAAAGTAGGTTGTATTGATATATGTATTTGAACAGATTATGACAGGTTTTGAGAAGTTTCTTATTTTGTATATTTTCTATGTAAAATCAAAGAACATTGAGTATTGAAATAATATTTTTTTAGCTTTTATTTATTATTGTGTGTTTGCTGGATGTGTATTCTTCACGTATTTCACAATTGTGGATGATTACTTCCGTGGATGACATGAGGCTCCTATTACCAGCACGATTCTTAATTCTTCATCCGTGTATCCTTGTTCTAAATTGTTTAGTCGTTGGTTCTACATGAATGATTGAAATTTGATTTGTACTGAACTTTCTTTTTGAAATGTGAAATTGATTGTTACTGAAATTTGTCTTCAATCATTATTTACTTGTAGAATTTCAATATTTTGACAATTAATTAGTTATTTTTTGGAATGAAAGAAATATGCTTGGTGTCTTTACATTAAAAATGATTTTTTTTTTTGTGTTGAAGTTAAAAGTTGGTGACTTGCTAATTATGAATTCAACCATTGCCCTTCAGGGAGTTCATTAAAGTCAACCCAAATAGTTGTGTTAATCGTGTTGACGAATGTAAAAATAGCATAGTTTGTTCAGTTAGAAGTCCCTTACAGATTTAACTGAACAAGAAGTAACTCTATGCGGTGAAGGGTGGAAAGGGATCATTAAGTCCTTCTGGGAATGCCAAAAATAAATATTCGTGCAAGCCACTTAAATGGTTTACTTGCGTTGACAACTTTTAGCATGAATAAATTGTGAAAAATAGTTCACATTCGCCACTTTTATACTGATTACAACATGGAGTGATGTAAGCCTTGGACAGATTAGATCAGAAGGCAATGTGCTCCAGAGTGGAAAAAACAGATGATTGAGGTCTTAGACTGCCTCCACTTATTTGATAGGGATTTAGAAAATAAAAGGATTCAACCTTCTACCATGAAAAGAAAAACTTACCTTACAATAACTCCATACCGACTGCCTTCTGTGCTGCTTGCAATCATAGATACAGGCATGCCCCCAAAACACGATACTAAGATCACTTGGCTACTTTTAGAATTTAAAGATTGAAGACTTTTCGTGGTTAAAATTTCTGTGACAAGGCTGCTACAATGATGAAACCTCGTGAGGTTCGGTTGATTGCAGTCACTGATAAAAATTTTCTGATGGTTTTGTATGAATAGTTGTTTTGCATTACATGCTACTGCTGAGGTGCTCATTGTTCCGATAAGAATAAGAATGCTGTCATTTTCTAAGATGAATTATCTATTCAGTGGCTTTCAAATACTGTTGGCTGCCTTCTTTCTTAATTGCAATCATTGATAACTGTTGCAATTCTCTATTTATTGCCTGCTCGAGTGATTTTGATTTTTCCCTTTTTTTTATTTTGTCTCAACAGCCAGTTGGACTGGGAAAGATTGCAAAGCTCATCAACGCTGGCAAGATAGACTCATCAGAACTTATAACAATGAAGACTCTCAAGGTTTCAATATTTGCCATAACTTGTACTCTTAACATTGTCATATTTTGGGTTGATTAAAATCTAATTTCTTCTTACTGCAGGAAACAAGTGCCATAGGAAAGCAGATCAAGGATGGTGTTAGGCTGATGGGTCGTGGTGCTGAACTCATAAAATGGCCAATTCATCTAGAAGTGAGTTTTATGTCTATATCAATAAAAAAATTGCATATTCTAGATATTGTTCTTTCAAGTTGATAAATATGTAGAGTAATCATTTTTCTTCGATGTTGATCTTGATATAGTTGATAAATTCATTCTAGTTTAGCAGAGACAAGTCCCAAAAAACAGGCTCATGATTTGAAAATAATCGCAACTTTCTTGCAGATTACATAGAAGTACAATATGTAATCTTGTTCCGAGTAGCTAACGAAGAGATCTTATTCAGAATTTGATTTATACTATATACTGTATGATCTTCTTAAACCCTAATGCCATATTCTACAAAAGAAAATCCTTATAAAATTATGCTTACTGGAATATTCTGTTGTGACATCAGCTGAATATATTTGTTTTTTTTGGGACATTTAGGCCAATTAAGGCAAACTCACACAACGCATACACAAAGACTCGAACCTTGGACCTCTTAGTTGGAAGCCTAAGCTCTCAACCAATAGGCCAAGGAGAGTTGTGTAGCTGAATATATTTGTATTCCATCCTTGAAATATTGGCTTTCAAATCATTACCCTTTCCTGATCCCAAAGATTGGGATTAAGGCATCGTTTGAGACGGCTTTCGTTCTGCTTCTTAAAGCAGCTTCTTAATAGAAACTGTTTTAAGAAGCAGAAAAAAAAGACATCACTAACAAAGTCTAAAATGAGATGAATAATCTTTTTTCAATATATTTAAATGATAAAGTGAAAATATCAATGTGCCTATGTGCAGGTATCAAGAGTGACAGCTAGAGCAAAAGCAGCAGTAGAAGCTACAGGTGGTTCTGTAAGGAGAGTTCATTACAATAAACTGGGATTTCGAGCACTGCTCAATCCGGAATGGTTTGAAAAGAAGAGACGTTTGTTACCTAAAGCTGCGAGGCCACCACCAAAGATCAGAGATAAGGTTGACAGCATTGGACGTCTGCCCGCCCCTACCAAACCAATACCATTCAGTCCAGAAGAAAGAGCGGCGGCCGCCGCCGCAATGGGAGCTCCTCCACCCGCTTCTAGAGCTGCTGTTGATTCCATTAACTGAAGCTCTTGAGATTAGATGGCGGAGTTCAGTTGATAATGATCCAAGAAATTGGAACTGGCATTTTTCATATTTTTGTTTTATTTTGCTGATCACACTATTTCGTTCAATCCGTTCAGTGTCTCTGAATTTGATTGGTATTTCGGGAGTATGAAGTCGTTCATGATATTCAGTCTTGTGGACTACATGGCTGATGAGCTTTTCAGGGTGCTTATTTTTTACTTCCAAGCACTTCAAAATTTGAACAGTTCCAGAGGCTGAAATACTATGGAGAAATGAGTTGATATTATTAATCAGAAGCGCTGATTAATAATTAATTAGTTAAATTAGTATTTAACCTACTTATAATGGATCAATCACTTAATTTAGGATCTGTATTTATTAAATTGTGGTAAAAAGTTGTCATATCTGTTCAATGTTGCCTAATTTTTTTCTAAAAAGTTTTATAATATTTATAATAATTTTTAAAATTATATTTTTTAACCTACTATAATGGATCAATCACTTAGTTTAGGATCTGTATTTATTAAATTGTGGTAAGAAGTTGTCATATCTGTTCAATGTTATAACTCTTAAGAAAATTATTGCCTAGTTTTTTTCTAAAAAAGTCTATAATATTTATAATAATTTTTAAAATTATATTTTTCTCACAACAATTTCATAATTAAATTTAAAAAGACATTTAAATTAGTCCGACTTATGCTGAAATGAGTGAAAACTAAAGATTTGAATAAATTTGTTCTTTAGAATCGTAATCATATCAAATCATTTTTTTTTTTTTGTCATTTTGAAAGAATAATTTCTCAATCTAATGATTTGATTATGGATGAAAAGATAATTTCTTAGAGTTGGACAGTGCTAAATAGACTTCAATTTTTAGGGCATTAAAATAAATAAATGAATGAGGTAAGATATCCCTGAATTTGCTCGATCATAAATTTTTGAAGTCGTCAGAGAATTCAAATATATCATTTATCATAATCCCAGCGATAGAATCTTAACATATGCCTTCATAATTATATTCATCCTATTGTAAATAAAAGCATTTTTATGAAGTAAAATGATGAGAGGGTCTTCTTTTGTTGATCTCTCCCACCCATCTTTATTCATATGTGGTTTCACATGCTATTCTTTCCCTTTCTCATGCTTCCTGAACCTTTAGGGTTTAAGAAAATGAAGAACATTAATACAAAGAACAATCTTCAGAAACATAAACATTATATATATAGAAGTTAGAATCTACAGGTCAGAAACACACTGAAACTGTAGAGATCATCTGAATTTTATATCCTAAATTTCCTTTATCGTTCATCAAGACAATAAGAGTTGCTGTATAGAATAATATGGTTGATAAAACTTTCATCTTTGATAGTTGAAAGTTTTAATGTTTTGAAGGTTCATAAAAAAACTGGATGAAATTGCCAGAGCAATCGAACTTGCCGGATTGAACAACCTTTCTGGAACTATTTATACAACGTTCAGCAGTAAGTAAGTATATATATATTCAATTGTGACATCGATTATGGTTTAAACAAAAGAAATTTCCATATAAATATCATAAAATTTATATGTATTTATAGCTAATGCTTAAATCTTTATAATAAATTATGTAACTTCCTAGTTTATAAATTGCATAAAAAAATACACATTAAAATGTGTATTTAACTTTGATAAGTTAATATTAATGATATTTTTATGTATTTAAATGTTACTTTGTTTTATAACTAAATATAAAAAATTAACTATTAGATAGGTAAAAATATAAGAATTATGTCACATATATGTAAATTCTTAAAAAAAAAAATTAATGGTGCATCATTTGATCTAATAAATTCTACAAGATGACCTAAATCCGATTGCATACTCCCACTAGTAAAACATGATCAATGGATTGATTAAAGCTTTGTTTGGGACAACTTTCTTATTGCTTTCTAAAATTTTTAGTTTAAAAAATATTTAAACTAAAAAACTGCTTTAAGAAGCATTAAAAAAGTCACCCCAAACGAAACCTAAGATAATTATCTCTATGTTAGGGGCAGCATCTGATGGAGGAACCATTAACTTGTCAATTGAGTGGAGGGCGCTACAATAATATGAGATGGAAGATGGTATAAATCCATGTGACCCTCTAATGTTAACAACCACTTGCAACAATAAAGCATTCTCCCAAGGGGCCGAGGAAGTGGTATCCTTATGAAGGTAAGAGCCATTAGAATCAATCTTCACTTAAACATTTGAAGGCACCAATACATCTGAGACTGAAGCTAACTTTCCTACATAAAGAAAAGTTGTGGTTTAAAATATGACAATACGTGTAATAGAATAATTAATTATAATAATCATATCCCACGGATCTCCAACTGCAACCCTCGAATTGCTGTCCACAGATTGCTGACGTGGTCTCCCCTTGGTTGTGCCATTCAACACTCCCCCTCAAGTTGGGTTGTATAATCCTAACTTGCAAACAAACTTATCAAGTAGAGAGCCCGGTAGTACCATTGTTAAAATTTTGGCAAGTTGTTCATGAGTTGGGGTATATACTACTTCAATTTCTAAGTTCTTTATTTTCTCAGATATAAAGTGTCTATCAATAGTAACATGTTTCGTTCTGTCATGATGTACTGAATCTTTGGCCATACTGAATGCGGCTTGATTGTCACATTTCAACTTATTGTGCCTTCAATATTTATTCTCAGTTCAATCAATACTTGTCTGATCTAAATACCTTTCTAAATAGTAATTGCTAACGCTCTCAGTTCAGATTCTGCATTGCTTCTGGAAACAACAAATTATTTCTTGTCCTCCATGTCACTAGGTTCCCCCACACAAATAAATAATATCATGTGGTCGATCGACTGTCAAGCTGGCTATCTTCCCAATCTGCATCAAAATAAAGGATCAATTTCATATCTTCATTTTTCTTGAATAATAGCCCCTTTCCAAGAGTCTTCTTGAGATATCTCAATAATTGATATGCTACCTCTACGTGCTCCTTCATAGGATTACTCATATATTGGCTTACCATACTCACAGCAAATCTAATATATGGACGGGTGTGAGAGAGGTATATAAGCTTTCCTACAAGACGTTGATATCTTCCTTCATCTACTGGAACTCCCTCCTTTTCTATCCCAAATTTCTTCTTAAGATCCATAGGTGTAATGGCTGGTATGCATCCCAGCATCCCAGTCTCCTTCAGTAGGTCTAAGATATACTTGCGTTGGGAAATAAATATACATTTACTTGATCGAGCTACCTCCATACCAAGGAAGTATCTAAGTGATCCTCAAACTTCTTAGACAAAGCCTGCATGATCATCATTATTTCCTCTATATCATTTCCCATAAGGATGTGTCATCCACATATACAATCAGTACTACTACCTTACCTCTTTCTGATTGCTTCACAAACAATGTATGATTTGCCTGACATTGTTAAAATCATAGCCTTTTTACATACTTTGAGAATTTTCCAAATCATGATCTTGGAGACTGCTTTAATTCATACAAGGATTTTACAATTTAGATACTTTATCCCTTCCATACGACTTCTAAATTCCCGTTGGAATCTCCATGTAGACTTCTTCTTTCAAATTCCCATTCAAGAATGCATTCCTGATATCTAGCTAAATTTGCTGTTAAGGAAAGAAGAATCCTGATGGTGTTGAGCTCTGCAATAGAAGCAAAAGTTTCATGATAGTCTATTCCATAACACTGAGTAAATCCACTTGCAACCGTCTAACTTCCAGTGTCTCAACACTACCATCCACCTTATGCTTTATTGTGAACACACATTTGCAAGTCACAACTTTCTTTCCTGGTGGGAAATCGTATTCACCCATGTTTGATTTTTTTCCAATGTCATAATTTCTTCTTTAATAGCCTGTCTCCATCCTAGGTGATTCAAAGCTTCCTGAATATTGGTTGGAGTCTGTACATCATCCAACTTGAAAAGGAAGACTTGATAAGTGTTTGATAATCTGCTATATGAGAGAAAGTTTTCAATTGGATGCTGGTGACTCTTATCTCTTTTTGAACTTCCTCATTTTTCTCCTCTATATGAATTTCTACAGTTGTTGGATCTATTAAAGTAGAGTAGATAGGTGCAAGATGTGTCACTGTGGGCTCCAAAAATTCGGCCCCGTCCTCCCCGTTGCTTTTCGGGGGAGTTTTAACAGATTAAGTTCCAGGGTAAATTTTGGGAAGGCAGATTGGGTTTGTAGATAAGACACAACCCAAAGATTTCACCCACGTTTTGCGAGGACTTTATGATATGAGTTCTAATTTTCTATAGGTGCAAGCTCCTATAGTTAATTACCCCTTCCGATAATGAGAGAGAACTTTCGATTAAGGCTAGTCGCCAATCAAATATGTGGAATATGTGTTATCTGGCATATAGTAGCAGCATGGTTTGGGTGTAGAAAATTTGATATTTAAAATTGAAAATTTCACCATCTTGTACTTAAAGCGAGTAATGGACCCGATCAAGATCTCATGGTTTTGTCGTCCCAGGTCATCGTGGTCCATAGTTTTCTTAGTCAGAGTAGATAATCAACCCAAACTAATAGAAGGATCCTTGCCAGCAGCCATGGGTTACTTCGTCCAAGGGTGTCTTGTAGACCTGGGGTAAATATTTACCTAAGGGAATAAATTTAAATCCACCTTAGCTAACAAAGGACTTTGTGCCCTATAAATTATATCTTATTAATTTATATCTCAAGGATTTGATGTCATTAGGGAGCTTATAGGCTCTGACCATAACAGTAATTTAGTGGTGCCATTTGACGGCAAAATCACATGGTTCAAAGGGCCCTGATCATAACCGTTTACCTGCGGTGTCATTTGATGGAAAAACTGCCAGTTAGAAAACATGTGCGACGCTCTTACTGGCAAGAGACTATTTGAGAATGAATCCTAGTGATATTCTTGAAAAAGCATTAGCTCTTTGTGAGTTGCAGTGATTTTTATATTTATCCACCTCGACAAATTGTTACGAATAGTGGATTGATTTTGCTTTAAGCATTTGATGGTGATTTCAATTTTAAACATTTTTTAATTTTGATGATTTTTCTTGGAATTTTGGATTTTGAACTTTGGAAACTTTTGGAATTGTGAATTTCATGGGTATTTTGGAGGCATTTTGAATATTTGAAATTAACCCCTCTAGTTGAGATCTATGTTCAA